TTCTGTGGAGATTGATCAGAGGCTCTTTTCCACAGATGAGTTGTGCCAGTCCTTATGTGGAAGCAAAACACAGCCGGCTTTCCTCCACAGAGACCTCTCAGTCTCAGTCTTCTCATGAGGAGTTTCGCCAGGAGGTAACTGGGAGCAGTGCAGTGTCCCCCATTCGCAAGACAGCCAGTCAGCGCCGCTCCTGGCAGGATTTAATTGAGACACCACTAACAAGTTCAGGCTTACACTATCTTCAGACTCTGCCCCTGGAGGATTCCGTCTTCTCTGATTCTGCAGCCATCTCCCCTGAGCACAGGCGGCAATCCACCCTTCCAACTCAGAAGTGCCACCTACAGGATCACTATGGGCCATACCCCTTGGCCGAGAGTGAGAGGATGCAAGTGCTAAATGGCAATGGGGGCAAGCCTCGAAGTTTTACTCTGCCTCGAGATAGTGGATTCAACCACTGCTGTCTGAATGCTCCGGTTAGTGCCTGTGACCCACAGGATGATGTGCAACCCCCAGAGGTGGAGGAAGAGGAGGAAGAAGAGGAGGAAGAAGGGGAAGCAGCAGGGGAAAACATAGGAGAAAAAAGTAAGTATGTTTATGGAGATTCTTAGCCTGTGTATACAAAGGCCTAAACTTTTCAAACTTGTTGTTTGAGGAAAATAGAATTGTTTCCCTTTTTCTTAAAATAATGATCTTGCTGAATAAGAAGTCAGGTCCCCCTTCATGTCCTACTTCCATAACTTAAGTAACTTGGGGGAAAATTATATATAATGAAGAATGAAGTTTTATCCCAGGACACACAGAGCTGGAGCAAAAATTTTTTTTCTCCCAACTACCTATTGCCTTTTAAGGTTAATAGTATTCATTTCTTTTTCTTCCTTCTCTTACCCTGTTTCTTCTCACTTGCATGCATCATCCCATTGGTCCACACTGATTACCCCCTGAGTTTGGGTTAAGAAACTATAAATGCTTCAAACAGGATGTTAGCAGAGCCCTGGTTAAATAAGTAAATACTTATGCACATATACACCCAACCACACCTACACATGTATATATCTTCCTTTTTCACTATCAGATTTAAAAGAAAAGTGCAAAAGACAATTTTTCCAAGGAGAGATGTCACATAGCATTTCTGTCAACTCCAAATAGTTGTATTTGTTTCTAGAAACCAATTTACCAAAAGCATCCATGTGCTTTCTTGGTATATATGTTGATTACAATGCTCAATTTATATGAACTCAACTCTGAAGAGAGAGAAGCCAATCAAGTAACCCTCTGTCTTGTTGAGATTAAGATTATGTTTCCCAAGTATCAAGTTCTTTATCCAGTATGCTATACCAAGCATCTGTTTATACCTAACATCATACACTGCTCCAGAAACTCAGGTTAGTTTAAGGGTATAACTCAGTTGTTTTTGTTAGAAAATCTAGGTTTGGCTATAAATCCTGAATGTGTAAGAGAAATATGCTACCACTTGCATCTCTATTCAAAATGCAATCTGAGCCGATTAGTGTAGATGATTAGAGCCAGTGGTTATGAAATGAGTTACTCATTTGGTCCCCTTAGGGCATTAGACTTCTCTTTTTTGATGGATACAAACAGAAAATAGCTTTTAACCCATTTTACAAGTATGCAGGACTTTGATTTCCAGATATATTCATGTTAGTTCTTCATTGTAATTGGAAAAAACAACTCAAAGCTCTCAAATTACCAATAAGGCAAAAGCCTCATGTTAATGTGAAGCTTGACTCCTTTAATATGAGAGCCACTTTGAAGATTATTGACAAGACAATGTAGTAGACCTTCTTTTATGGTATGGATCTTGCATTGTATTATTTAATGGGGATTTTATATCTTCTACAACAAGTACAAGAATTGCTTGTAATAAAATTTACAGGCTTAGGTACTTTCCATGAGAAATATATTTTAGCCATCATATTCATGAGAAATATTATAAAAAGTATACTATTGGTGTAGAAAAAGTAATTACCAGGCTGGGGTTGTAGCTCAGTGGTAGAGCACTTGCCTCGCATGCATGAGGCACTGGGTTCAATCCTCAGTACCACATTAAAAAATAAATTTAAAAAGTAATGTGCTAATTCTTTTTAAAAAAGTAATTACCATCTACTACCTGCCAAGCCTTCCCAACATTCACATCTATCAGAGATTATGGAAGACTCTTGTAAAAAATATTTAGGAGTCATTCTAGGCCTCTTTTGGAGTTCTGGCAATAATACATATTTAATATTCTAATGTTTACAAAATCAATGAACTGCTTTCTAAAATTGAATTCAAAATTTTATTTCAGTTGTCATCCAGTTGCTGCATAATGGCTATGACTAAGTATGTGAGGTTTGTTAACTCTAAAAATATTGTATGAAATACTTTATCTCAGCTGTGTTAAAATAAACTGTGTTGAAACTAGCACAGCCCCCTGAAATAGAGAATTCTGTTTAGAAAACATCCCATCATTCCTACAAGCAGAGTCACTGATGCCATCTTTTTTATGAATAAGTGAGGTATTTAGCCATTCATCCTGGTCATTGTGTTGGAAAGGACTAGAAGCAAATATATCTAGGACACAAAAGGAAAACATGGCACCATACCTGCCATTCCTTCCAAATTCCAGTAGCCCATAGAGCATCTCTATTTAGATAGCTTTCAATTTCTTCTAGAGCCTCTTTTTTATTGTTTTGTAGATTAGATAGATTGTTAGCCATATAGGTGCACCCTTAAGTAGGTGAGGAGTTTTTTCAGGTTCCAGGTGAATTAAGTGAGTAGTTATTTGATACTGTCCATCATTTTTAGTGGGTTCTCTTTGCAGAATAAATGTGATAAGGTAGAATAGCCATAGTAAGTGTGTCAGTAAATTTGGTATTGCACATTTTTCTTTACAATTCAATATTATGGAACAATTCATGCTATTTCAGTCAGTTCAGCTTTGCTGGAAGTGACTGTGCACTATTGTTGAGGCCCCATTGCTTTCTGGGTATTTTTCCATAAATTGTGCCACTTGATGTCTCAGTGTATTTCAAACTGTTCTCAACAGAGTTGCATTTCATGCTTGCCTGGAAGATGTTTCTTATTTGATGAAATGCATGTTCGCCTTTCTAATCATGGTTTTGCATTGTTATTTCTAATATTCAGGAGTATACAATTTGATGAACTTTTCATTTGCGAACCAGTATGTTTATAATCAGTGTTTTCAAAAGACTAAGGTCTAGTTTAAGGTGCCATAGTATTGACTCACCTGGATTGGCCATTAGGAGTAAATGAGCAGGCTGCTTATTCAAACCAGGCTGCTTGGTGTTATTCCAGTAGAGCAAAACTTATACACAGCAATGAAGTTGTGGCCATTACATCAGCCTCAGACTTACATGCACTCTCTCCAGTGCAGTGCACTCACTGTGCCACCACACAGATTAGCAGGAAACTGGTACTTTAAAAAAAAATCAAGGTCTAACAGCAGTGTGTTACTAACTGTCCTGCTCAAGGCCAGCATTCAATTTGACCCTACTAAAGTAAATTTGTACTCAAGTACAAACTTGCAGAGGTAATAAGTTTAATGTCTCTAGCTTCAAACATTTTTCTCAGTTTGCCATAAAGTTAAAAATAGGAACCATCAAGCAAGTGGGCAAAAGGAGTAATGGAAGAGAACCTAAAAATATGGCCTTCTTATACCTTAAGGATGAAAAATTATGTCATCAACCAAAGCCATTTATTATCATTTATATTTCATCTTACCTTATATAATATGGCACATATTATATGGTGCTTACAAGTTTACAGATAATCTAAGAAGCAAGATATACCTAAAATGATGCCCTGGATGTTTTTCAGTTTCCTTATGGATGTGGAATTTGGCTGTGCTTATGAAGTGTAAATTTAGTCCTCCTTAGAACAGACTTCAATCTGTGTTCTCATGGTTGAACTATCTTTTGTCTTATTTTAAAATTCAATTATTTAACTGAGTCATACTGTGATTTTTCTCAGGCTGAACTCATTTTAGTCTGAAATGGATGGTACTAAAAGTACACAGATGAGACTTCTCTTGTTTTCCTTTGACTGAAAAGTCAGCTTGCATATTAATTATCTTGACCTACTTCACTGGCATTTGGGAAAAGACAAGTAATTTCCTATTATCCCAATTAGCAGTTTCAAAGCTACTGAGGTGTAGGCCTTATAATACCTTCGTTAAATTATTAATTATGTCAGCCTATGCAACTTTCAAGGGATAAAAATCATAAAAGTATAAGACAAAATAAAAAGATATGTTTCATTTAGAAATCATCTGCCATAACACTAAAATACTATTTTGGTTAATACAACTTGAAGTTGTCTTAATATCTCTCTCTTTCCCTTGCCATAATAGGCAATTTAGATGAGGTTTTCAAAAGCTTTATCCCTTAATCCTACTGATGTGCCCCTTGGCAGTTATAAGGGTACTCTTTTCTAGCCATACATTCTTGGTGTCTTTGTTTACTCAATGAAGTTATAATTTTCTCTTTTTCCATTGCCTTGGAGATTACCTACCAGTCTTCTCACTTAATTTATGTAGATATTTAGCTTGGGTTTAGCAAAATCTAGGTCTTTTTTGAGGGGTTAGAGAGGGATAAATCTATTATTTTGTAGCTGCTAGACACATTTGGTTACCTGGATGAACTATTGCTAATGTTCTCAAAATAATATCTGCTGAGAAATATATTTTAAAGTGATATTTCAAAATCTAACATTCTTTGAATAGCCCTGATAACTTAGGAGCTAATATTCAGTATCCTAATATCTGAAATTATCTAGGCAAAGAGGCTGGATAATTATGATGGCCAATATGGTGCAGAAGAACATACATTAATCCACTTGAATCATTGTAAATGGTCCTAGAGTAATTTCCTGAAAATTTTCTAAAAATCCATGAATTTTATTTTTTAACAACATTCAGATAGGAGATGTATGGGCAAGGGTAAGTTTCATATTCTCAGAATATGAAACTGTTAAAGGGGGTAATGAACAAGTTGAAAATAAATAAAAATACTGCAGCACTTTTCATCATTTTTTTATTTTCAAAGTAAACTGTACACAATACAAAGAAATTGGAAGAGTATAATCAATAATATCTAAAACTCTAGTTCAAGTTTAAAGGGAGTACATGAATGAAGAGGGATATAACAATGGGAATAAAAAGGCATGTGATAAAGTCAGAATAAATGGCAGAAAAACTTAAATATGTCACTTTTATGAAGTTTAAGGTGCCATCCTTGACTAGTTATGTAATTAACATATACATAAAGAAAAATGCAGAAAAAAAATCTAGAAAGCAGTAAATATTCTCTTAAAATCATATTGTCATTTTGAAAAAATTACTGTTAGAGAGCCATTAAACACAGAGGATTTGATATCATTCTTATATTGCTTAGAGTCTGGATTTTTTAAATCACACCTCTCTCAATTGATGAGGAAAGTCATTAACTTATAGGAAGTTCAGATATGGGACTATTCTAGGGTAAATTTCATGGCTCTCTAAATGTCAGAAATCTCAGTTAATTTTTTTAATGCCAACAGTTCCACACATCATTTCTCATAAGACAGCATCCAAAAAGCCAAAGACCAGACTTTATTATTAGTCCTTTTTGTAACATCAAGGGCAACTTTGTCTAGATCCCTCCAGCAGGCGTATTCCCAGATATCACTGGCCAGGGTTGTTCCATATGCCCATGCCTATATGTCAAGGGAAATTGAATGATTACTAATAGTTTAGATTACACTTGAACCATTCACAAGGTCATAAAATAAATGTACTAAAACATTTTGTCATTACTTTCTGTATGAGGAGCTCTATTGTTGTGTATTTTTATGTCTTTAAGTATATTTGTTTAAGCATTGTCTCATTTTTTTAATATGTACATGCAAGCACATGCCCCAGATCATGTCACCTCATTTCAAAGTCTTGGTGCCACTAAAATACTAGATATATTTTTTTAAAGGTGAATATTATGTAACCCTGAAAATATAACATGTTTGATATAATTATTGTTGCCTTATAAATGAAAAAGTATGTTTTCTATAGATAATAAATGATCGTAGCTTAGAGTACAATCTCTGAAGACATTCCTCAGTTTAAATTCTTGCTTTGTCACTCTGCCACTTACAAGTGGGATGAATGATCAAGTTATTTAATACCTCTATACCTCAATATCTTCATTGTTAAATCAGAGAGTAATAGTACCTACCACTTGAGGTTGTGTGAGGACTAAATGAGGCAATGCCAGAGAACACTTAGTGTCCATATCTGACACATTGTAAATCATCCAACAAGTGTTATAATTATGTGGTTGTATGTAGATTTTATGTAGATTTGAATTTAGGCAAAGAGGGCAGTTACAATACTTAAATAACTATTAGGCCTGGCAAACCTCACTAATGTTTACTTGACTACATGACCTATCATTGCTTAGTTTCAGACATTGACTTAAACTATGTGAATGACTGTTTTTATAGGTAAAAATGATGAAAGAACAGCAATTTTGTACATTAGCTGTTGTCTACAAACTGAATTAGAAATGTCACTTGTTTCACTTTCTTATCACTCACTACTCCTTTCCTTTTTGACTTTGGATATATGGGAACTCAAAAGAAACTTGTATTCCTAATGTAAATCACCTTATAATGTGTATTTATTTAAATAGTTATTTATAGATCATGCCATTCTAGTCTCAGTTCAAATATCTTCCCGTTAGAGTCCTTCCCTCACAACCCAGTGTAATCCAGATGCAACCCCTCATCACCATCACCACCATTCGTGCTTTGGTATGGTATTCTGCTTTTTATTTTTCCCAGCTTTATCACTATGTATATAATATCAAATATTATTCACTGGTTTATTTTCCATCTCTACCCTCTACCCACCATAATATAAGCTTCTTAAGAGCAGGGGTTTTATTCCTGTCTTATACCCAAGGCCTAAAATAGTATATAACCCAAAGTAGGCCAGATAGTACTGAGTGAATAAGTGAATGAATGTATAATAGCTAACCCCCTTTCTTCCTAATTTCTTATCTATTTTATTATATAATAGAGCTAAAGTTATTGTTTATCCATTATGCAACATAAAACAGGAATCAAAACATTGCAGAATTCTTAATTTTAGGTATTTTGGAAATGGCTAGCCAGGACTGTATGTGCTCAGCATACCCTCTTTGTGCTGAGATGCTAATAATTAGGATTACTAATCTTTGTATTGTGGCTCTTTTATAATCATATTCTCTATAGTTGAAATAATTGTCCTATTTTACTCCAATTTCAAAGATGAAGGCTACAAAAATATGACATCTGAAATGATTAGTTCATTGTCATGAACCAGTTAGAAGCCGGATCTTCCAGCATCCATAGGTTGTTTGTTCTTCCTACCAAAATCTTTTCCCTGTGGAAAGAAGGGTGACTCAACTCACTACCAATGTTTGGTTCACAGCCTTAGTTCTCCCTTGGAAGTCGTCCATCACCTAGCTTCATCTTAATTAGTTTTTAAAAAGTGTTAAAATTGCAACTTTGTACTTTAGCAAGTAATCAATAGCCCTGCCTCAGTCAGAAAAATAATTTCAGAACTGTTGATAAGTAATGAACCCAGATATTAATGGTAAAAGAAAAATTCTAGATGCTATATGCTATAATCACACCAGCAGAAAATGTGGCTAAATAAGAATTAAAGCTCATATAAAAGGATGACAGTCCCTCCCTAGCATAGGTAAGACAAGTTATAATTTACATTTTTTTTTACCAAGACAGAAGATCAGATTTAGCCATACTGTTACCTGTTACTATTTTCACACATCAAAAAAGTAAATCACTTTTTTTCAGTTCAGTAATAGTTTATTGACAGTTTCTCAGTGACATACCTTATAGCATATTATATAAGAACCTATCCTAACTTCATTCTCCTTTTGCTTTGTTCACCCTTACCACAGAAAGCTGATGGTCCCAAAAGCCTCATTTTTGTTCCTTGTCATAGGAAATTCACCACTTATGATTACCACCTGCCAGGAGATAGCATGTTCAGATATAATAAGATTGTACCATGCAACATGTATTGGAAATTTTATAAATTTCCACATTTTTCTTTTGCTGTTTAATTCGTAATAATAACGTGCTTTTTGCAAAAGAAAGGAATATATAATATGTATATAATGCAATTATAAAAGTACAAAGAAACCCTCTCACCTTCTGACCCTCCAAAGATTACTGTCAAAAGTTAATTATGGGGGCTGAGGTTGTGGCTCAGTGGTAGAGCACTTGCCTAACACATGTGAGGCCCTAGGTTCAATCCTCAGCTCCACATAAAAATAAACAAAGGAATGCTGTCCATATACAACTACATAAATTCATTTTCCTCATATATCTTTTTCCTGTGATTCAGTGTGAGTAAGGGGGTGAAGCATGACCTAGTTGATTTATTTTTTTCTCTGAAATTTTTGATGCAAATAGTTTATAATAAAAACAGCAATGTTGTGAGATAACTTACCACTTCAGAACCCAGCCTCAGTCCCATACTCTAGAAAATGCAGTAGTTGGCCTTTTCAAAAATGATGGACAGGAACATGAGAAAAAAGGGCAACGACTGTTGTGCACTCTTACATACACATCCACACACACATCCCCTAGACTCATACATCAGAAGTTCTCCTAACTTCTTGCTTAAGTCTTCAATGTCATATAAATTTTTGCTTTCTTTATGGAGATCTTTCAGTACTATAAGCTTATTCCAAAGTTCTATGATGACAACAACTAAGCCAGAGTCTATCAGTTAGCTAAAGGAAAGAAAAAACAAAATAAAACATTGCAAGTATATTCTTAAAAAGCCAAAAACAAAACTCACAAATAGTTTCAGAGTCCCTTATCTGGCAATCAATTTGCCTTTGGATTTGGGCTCCAAGTTTTTAAACATTAAACCTTCTATTAAAAATCTTTCTCTCTTATTTTTTTAGTTTTCTCAGTAGTTCCATTACTCTGGTCACTCAGACTTTTTATGTTTAGCCACAAACACATCTTGGCCAAATATCTGGTCTTAATAGCTTAATATGTTATATTTTGAAGTTTTCCATTAATGGGACAATACTCACAAGTAATGTGTCAATAAGGAAAAAGTGCCAATTGTATAATATTTTGTTTATGGTACTGGGAATTGAGCCCAAGGCTTCACACATGCTAGGCAATGTGGAGAGCTACATCTCCAGCCCCCTTTTTAAAACTTTTACTTTTAAAATAAAATCTCCAGAACCACACACACACAAAAAAATCAACTTTCTGGGTTCTTTTACAGAAATTTTAGAATACTTAAAAATAACAGTTTCAGTTATCAAATTTTTATTCATTTCAGAGCTATGAATTATTTAATATCTCTATCATAGGTGCTATGACATTTCAATATTTAGATTTATCCTACTGAAATGTAAACTAAATTTCTGTATTTTATTTATGATTTACTGTATCAACATATCATCCAGTTAGTTTGAAGCATGTATTCATTCATTTAATAGGCATTTATTTCTACATGCTAGGTGTCATATTAGAAGTATACTTAGCTATTCCATAAGTCTACTTACAACAGAAATTTGTAAATTATCTTTAAGAAATAAGATAGATCTTTCTTTTTGATAACATGAAACAGCAAATAATGCAAAATATGTAGCATCTTTGTTACTTTAATGTTACAATAATTTTTCCTAGTAACCAATTTATAATTGTTTTAGATGGCACATGATATTCTGTTTTCCTTATCACTTACATAAAATTTACAAGACTGGTTAGAATCAGAAATGAGATCACTTGAAGAGCTATTTCTGATTTGGCTCATTCCTTAAGCTTTGGTTTAGGAATAAGCATTCAAGTCACTCAGCTGTTCTGATTACCACTAATCAAATGTCAAAAACATGAAGTAAACATCATATTATACTGACCATAGATTAATATTTCTTTAAGAAAATGCTTCCTAATTTTATAACCATCATGGAATTTATCCAGAAAAAAAAAATTAACATCAGGAGCAGTGATGCACTCCTGTAATCCCAGCAGCTGGGGAAAATAGTGAGTTCAAAGCCAGCTTCAGCAAAAGCAAGGTGCTAAGCAATTCCATGAGACCCTGTCTCTAAATAAAATTCAAAATAGGGCCGCAGATGTGACTCAGTGGTTGAATGCCCCTGAGTTCAATCCCTGGTACCCAAAAAACAAACAAACACATGAAAATTAACATAGGGAATGTTAGCAGAGTGCCAAAAAATGAAAATTGTACTATATTTTGAATGTCTGTCTTAGGGAAGTTTGAATCTTAACATTTCAAGCCTTGTTTTTAACATTGCTCTATGCTTACAATCCCTATCTTCCATGATTTCAAGTCTGATATTCTTATTATGCTCTTTTTATTTTTATAAATCATCCATAGAATCTATTGACTTCTATTCAAGATCTGTTCTTTTAAGACTTCTTAATTTTCTCACCCTTGACTTTTTTGGGGTTTTTTGCTATATTCTTTTCCTTGATATTTTTGTTATTTTTGCCCCACTACAACTCCATAAACTAATTTTAGAGTATATTCTGTGACTTATGAAACGGACATTTAAAAGCGTATACCTTGGGATTCTAGGTGAGAGAAAATAGCCTTTGATATCACAGAACTTGAATTTTACACCACCACCACTACCACCATTTCTGCTGTTTTCTTAATGCTTTTTAACAATGTTAACACACAGGAGTTTATATCCCTTTTCTTAAAAAAAAAAAAAAAAGGAAGGAGAGACAACTTGGAATCAGTGTGGCTTTAATGCAATCTTGCAACTCTGACAATAAACCCCACCCATCACTTTGAACTCTATTGTCTTTTTTTACACACTATGTAGTTGCTGGGCAGCCTCCTCTTTATTTAGCATATTGGGTTCTGAGATTCATGATGGGGTTTTATTAACTTAATTAGAAGGATTTTGCCCCAGCACTAGAGGTTGGAAAGATGTTTACCCTTCCAAAAATAATTTTGCACTAATACTGAAACACTTTGCTGAATAATTAAATGAAAAGGTAGCCTTAGCTTTGAATGTTTCTTTAAATTTATAGCATGCATCTTTTTTAATGTGTTATTATTGGTGGTATCTCTCTGGTAACACTATAGAACCCATTTGAAAATGCTTTATATTAAGGTAAAGGGTTCATTTATTGGATAAATTGTTTTTATTCTGTTAGGCATATAATGTTTCATGCTACATATAAATAGGCATGATAGCTGTCTCATTATGGAACTAGAGTTTTAAGACAATATGTCCACCCTCCCACCCAAAATATAAACATATTTTACATACTGTAAAAATTGTTATTGAACCTCTGCTTGAATATTTTAGGGTCTCAGAGTGCCTACCTCCAAAAGCATGATATTTCATGTTGGACAACCTAGCTAGAAGGTTCTTTCTTATTGATATACAAAAGCAGTCCTCTGACAAATTTTCTACCTGGTTTTAGATCTTAAAATTGCAATTTAGAAAAATATAGAGCAAGTAGTTGAAAGGCTGTCCTATGGAAGGAAAGATAAGATGGTCTTTAAAGTTCCAAAGAACATTATAAGTGGAGGGTAGAGGAAGCTGATTGTAGATTGATTTGAGAAAGAAGATTCTAATTACTGCATTTGCCCATAAATGGAATGACTGGTCCTGAGTTTAGTGGGCTCCCTGTTACCAGGTCCTCCAGAATTTTAGGCATCCTTTCTGTTTTTAACTGATTGATTTATTAAGGAAAAAATATAGAAATTATTCTAAAGAAAAAGGGGCAAAGGACAGAGCATTATAGTTCTCGATTTAAAACTTTGTATGTTAATTTAATTCAGTCATTCAAAGTGCTTATCTGAATCCACCTAATGTCTTTCAGTCCTTATTGCAATATCTTTATTCATAAGGGTATCATGCAGAGTTTCATCTTATGCAACATACACTGACTATGACTTTCCACTTATCTCTCAGCCTGGAGGTACTGTCCCCAAAAAAATTCTAGTTTAAAATGCTTCATTTCCATGATTGAATCCATATTCATCCTACAATCAAAATTAAAAATCAAAACTCATCCCAATAGTCTTCTCTAAAACTTCACCATGCATTTATATCAGGTTTATCAGCCTGTGCTTTGTAGAACCTATGCTGGGGTTTTGGTTTTTTGGATAACAGCTCTTCTGTTAAGACTTAAGCATTAAGTCTCAAGGTATTCTAACCATACCCTATAATAATGTACAAAACATTCATTTGTTGTCTAACATTATAAACTACTGGTTCAGGGGGACCACAGAGTACTTCTTAGTCCCTTGTCTCCAGAAGTGTTTCTTTTTGTAATGTCCTAGTTTGAAACTTTTCTTCTTGCAGAAAAAGCCTTAAATATCATTGAAACAATATGTCTCTACCTTCTTAGATCATTTTTTATGATTTTTTAAAAGCTCTTTATATTTTTTCCCAAGCCTTAATTGAACATTTACCTTCATAGCATTTGTATAAGCAATTGGTATTATTCTCTGCTAATTCATTTTTTGTGGCCTCTCATTCCATATTTTATAAATTTTTTCTTTAAATTAAAGCTTTTCCTAAGTAAATTTCTTGTAACTACCTTGATTTGAGCTGAATCTCTTTTTCCCTCTCTCATTGAGACAGTTTATGTTTATATTACTGTAATTTTATTTTTTTAAATCACTCATCATTAAATTTTTCTATTTGTCTTACTGGAGTTTTTAAATCATGTTTCTTTCCTGTATGGTCCATATTCAACTTTGTGTTTTCTTCTCACTGTTAGAGAAATAAAAACAAAGACAAAATTATAGGATGAGTTTGTTTTAGTTTCTCTCTCCCCACCCCTCCCATATATATATTGCTGCTATTGTTGTTGTTGTTGTTTGTTTTCAAAACAGAGTCTCACTGTGTTAACCAGGCTGCTCTCAAATTCTTGGGCTCAAGTGACCCTCTCACTGCAGCCTCCCAAGTAGCTGAGATTACAGACGCGTACCACTCACTACCACCGAACTATTATGGTCTCTTTTACATCTCCAGGGCCACAAAAGTTCTTCCCTGTTGTTCAGTGTTAGGACAGGGTTTTACTCATTCTTTCTATTTATGAAGCATTAAATTATCTGGGTTTTAATGCATACAGTAATTACATGTATTCATCCCATCTTTAATGCATTAAATCCTATAGTTAGCATTATTAGTGACTTAAACAGAAAATAATGATGCTCAAGTAATATCATTTATTTTTTTTTAATATTCAGAGGGTTTCATAGAATCTGATTTGCCAACTTTTATTAACCAATTAATGGAAAAGTAGCATTATAAAAATTTGGTAACTTCATGAGGATAATTTGCAGGATTTTTTAAAAATTTTTTTTCTTAGTTGTAGTTGGACACATACCTTTATTTTATTTATTTATTTTTATGTGGTGCTTAGGATTGAACCCAGCGCCTCACACATGCAAGGCGAGTGCTCTAACACTGAGCCACAACCCCAAACCCAGGATTTTTAATCCGTTGTTCATGCATCCTCAGTCAATACCTGAATATGCCAGGATGAAGTATGGGAACCCTGCAGATAGTAAACTAGTAAGAGTAAAGAAGTAAGAATACCAAAATTTTCTAGTAGCTTATATTTTAAACCTAAACCTGTCCTAGATCAGCCATATTCTTTAGTCAACTACCTTTAGTTGTTTCTAAGAATTATCATTTCACATCCCCTATAAATAATAGATTCTAATTATAGAAACAATTGGAATTCATACCTTTCATTTAAGGCTTTTTATATAAAGTAATAATGCCTTGATACAAATTGATCATCCCTAATTCGAAGATCTGAAATCCAAAATGCTTCAGAATCCAAAACTTAAGATTTGGGGGGTTTTGCATAGGGTCATTTTAGATTAAGAACATTTCAAATTTGGGTTTTCAGATGAAGGATACTCAACCAGTAAAGTCCATGCAAAAATTCCAAAATCTCAAAAAAACTATGAAATCTGAAACACTTCTGGTCCCAAGTGCTTGGGATAAGGGATACTCTGTAGTATAAAACTGTACTACTAATTTCTGCTCTTTAGAGCTAATATAACTGGGGGCAACATTTGAATATTTCTGTTTTCTATATTATCTTGCTATAATGTCTAGGGCTAAATACCTGCTGCTTGCCTATAAAAAACAAGATGTCTGTTCAAGGTAATCATCTTTATTATTATTTTAGAGAATAAATGATGACATTTCAGAATGTGTAATTATAAAACAAAAAGTGATGTTAAGCTATATTGATGATACTTCTTGAGATTTTCACACATGGCCAGTGGTATCCCTCTTCTAACTGAAGAGTTAACATTATAGAAACAATTGGAATTCATACCTCTCATGATGGTAAAAATAAACAAACTTGATTTAGCCCTTCAAAAATTATTTGCCTATCATTCACTGAGCAAGTGCCTATTAAATAAGGTGTGTAACATGCACTTCATTGTCATGGAACCCAAACTGAATACACATTAAATAACACTGTTTCATGGGTTTGTAGCTTATAAAATACCATATATTGTTGGGAAAAGAAAGCTATGTGTGTTAAAATTTGCTTTGTGATAAGTTATGGTATAGAAAATAAAGATAGAATGTAATATTCTTTTACAATTTCAGCTAATATTTAGCAATATCCCCATTTTATTAAGTGAGTTTATAAATGACCTTCATGTTTTTAAAGTTTAATAAATATACCCCAGCAATGATAATGTAATGAGACAGCCAAATTACCTGAACGATTTTGTAAACATCAACAATATTTCCACTGATGACATAAAATCACTCTTCAATTTCTGAAATATGGAAGAAAGTCCTATGCATTACTGATATACAGAACTAAATTTCTAGTATATTAAGATCATTGACATCAAATTAGCTACTTTAAACCAGCTGATAAATTATTTTCAAAAAGTGCAGGGCTATTTTAATTCCTTTAATATCTTAGGTTTGAAAAGAAGGAAAGAGACATAATATAGATTTTTATAGTACTTAACAGTCAGCAGAAGTTTTATAAGCAAGACTTCATTATCATCACAAATGTAAATCACAAAAGTAATTATAAACCAGGTGTTCTAACAGGCCATATAGATAAACAATGACTAAAAACTCTCAAGAGCCTTTTATTGTATTTACAGTGCCATTTTGTGGAGTTAAAATGGTGAGCATTATGTCTATGATGTTGAAATTCTTATGACTATAGAACAGGAACAAACTAGAATCCTTTTTCCGTTTTTTTATTAGTGCATTATAGTTATAGATAATGTTGAAGTTTATTTTGACATAATTGTACAAGCTTGGAATGTAATTTGCTCTAATACATTTCTCAGTACTTTCCTTTCCCTCCCCACCTCCTTCCCCCATTTCATTTCCTCTACTCTACTGGTCTTCTCTTTATTTATAGTTTTTTTTTAATTAGTGCTTTATAGATATACATAAAGGTAAAATTCACTGTGATATATCTATATATGTACAGAGGCTAGTTTGGTCAATTTCATTCCACCCTCCCTCCCTTTCCCTACCCCTCCTCCCTCCCCTTTAATCCCCTTCCTCTATTCTACTAGTCTCTATTCTATTTTCATGAGATCTCCCTTACCACTTTTTTTTAAAGAATGGACTGCTCTATTTTCTATTATGAATTGTTCCATTGATTTTCAGTGTAAATGGAATTGTGATGTATTAATTTACCTACCTAACTGAACTTTTATTCTTTTTATTGCTCAATTTCTAAAATCAGAGCTTGTCTTAGACTGAGAATATCTGACATAATTGTGTACTACCCCTAGTAGCTCATAATTCAGGTGGTTGTGGCCCAGTTAAGTGAAAATGAGTGGCATGTGCCAGTAGGCTTCATTAAGATAGAATACTAATTTTTATGTTTTAATTGTCTCCAATGAAATGCCTGAATTTTTAGAAAAGCCATTTAATTGATCTAGTGGTATAAGAAAGCAGATCTTCTTAGTGACCAGAGAATGCTAGTCACTAAGAATTAAAATTATCTCAACTCAGTTTTCAAAGATTATTTTAAAAATAAAATATTATTATAAAAAAGAAATGAATGAATAAATAAATCATAAATAGATGGGTAAAATTTACTCTTCTACTCTTAAAGTGTCAATATTTTATGGAAATATAGAGATGAGAAGATAAGAAAATAGCATTTTTAAAATATTAAAGCAGAAACTAATGGGTATGTTATAAAGGTATCTATTTTATCTGACCCATATGGTTCAAAATGCTAGCCATTCAAAGTCTGCTTAAAGGACCTAAAAACTTAAAAATGTTAGACATAGCCATAAACCCACCCATAACAAGCATTTGACTGCAACCTATTCCAACATTTTCCCAAGGTAGTAAGGTGGTAAGATAAGATTTTTTCATAGTAGTTCATTGTAATCAGCCTCTGTCAATAAAGAAGCACCTTTAGAGAGAGTATTATGAGCTATATTTATAATTAAAAACTCATCCTGAGTCTTAGTAAGATTTTGACTCACCTCATCTACTCCTAATATTAATGACACATGAATAACTTGACAGTCTAGGTCATTAAATTACCCTTTAGTGATGATAGTCATCAGTTCATATAAGGACTGAATCATTCTTCCTTGACATAGCAGTGTCAGAAATAGCATCAGCAAATGTAGACATGAAGAAAACATATAATTTAGAGAAATACAACATGGTAATATAGATGAGACAAATAATTAAGCTAGAACTAAATTATGAAGTCCCTAGTATATCATGCCCAGGGGTTTGCACTGTATCTCAATATGCTGAAGGGCTTCAAGTAGATTTTAATAGGAAGATGATATAATCAGACAGTAAGTTTTGGAACAGTCTCTCTGTTGGAAATGTACATGTATCTGTGTGGAAGAATATATGATAGTGAAACCAGTTAGAAAACTACTTCAGTGATTCACATGGGAGGAATGATAACTCCTCTCCAAATGTGGAGATAAAGTAATCTGCTCAAAGGAAGATCCTCAGGTAGGGAGTAGGGCTTTTAGTTGTATCATGCGATCTTGAACTATGCCTCATGGGGAAATTGAATATTGAGCTAACCAAGCACTAATAAGAGGTCTGCCACATAGCTTTCTGTAGCCTGAAGTCAGAAAACACAAAATTTAGAATAGTGCTGATCAGCATGGATATACAATTTTCTCTAGCAATTCTCAGTGGCCAAGCAGAAATAAGAAAGCACATATTGGAAAGAATACATATATCTCCTACCCAAGAGGGTGAGGGAATTGAGGAGTCTTTACTGAGTAAAAAGATGGATTCAAGAATGGACTGGGTTCTTGGTAAGATCAAAGATTAGACATAGTGGAAGAAATAAGGAGAGGAAGGTGTTATCAGGGAGAATTATAGTACTTAAGGAAGTGACATGGTTTCACCCTGATGACAAGCTCAAATGTGTTACATTATAGGATTTGACAGCAAAAAAATAAACAGAGGTGGCTTATTTCAAAACATCTTTTCAACATCCTTCTTTTATGTTTGAATCTTGAGGGTTAAAAAATTAAAAATTGAAAACAAAAAAAAAATGGTCCAGGTATGATAATGCATGCTTATAATCTCAGTTACCAACTATAATCCCAGGTACTTGGGAGGCTGAGGCAGAGGATTCCAAGTTCAAGGTCAGCCTTGGCAATTCAACAAGACCCTGTCTCAAAATATAAAAAATAAAAAGGGCTAAGTATGTGGCTCAATCCATAAAGCACACCCAAGTTTAATTTCTATTACTGAAGGAGAAAAAAAGAACTGGAGGATACTGCCACATTAATGTGTAAACTAAGCTATCTAATAGCAAATGTTGAACAGTCACTGGTATAAGAAATAATCCCATTTATATTAGTAGGATTTATTTATTACATGTTTCAATTGCTTAGTAAAATATATTCAGTGACATAAATTATGAAGAATTGAAAGCTGAAGATATTTTAATGTTCCATTCTAAAGTAAATCTCATTTAAGTTAGGTTTACAACAGTGTTAATTTATAAGTCTTTGTGTGAAATAATTTTAAATTTGATGACAAGGGCACTCTGAGTCAGTTGACTGATTATATGGATTTTGTCCTTTTACTTTCAATGTTTTCTCAGAAAGATTCTTTTTATATCTCCTATGGACTATACCTGTCTGTTAAAATGAAAGACATTTTAATGATTTATTTTTTCTATAAAAGTATGCTACATAGTCTGGATTTGAAATGCAATCTGCAAGAGTTAGGCATGCCCATAAATCTCAATCTTTCATGTTACTCATATATAGAAAGAAGACATTTTCCCACATGAAAAAAAATGTTAAAATGGAATTGCCTTCCCTAAGGTAAAACACAAATATCTATAGAATTATGCATTTTTATAATATGATTCATTTTGTTGAGATTTTGTAGGTTTGTTGAACACATTAATCTATTACAAATACTGGCTAACAGTTTTTAATTAGGGTTACTATGTGCCAGGCAGTATTTTAAGGTCTTTATATAATGTAACTCATTTAAATCTCACAACACCACTGAGGTAAACATTATTATTATCCTCATCTTCTAGATGAGGAAACGGAGTTTAAATAGCATAATCCATGACTTCCAGCTAGTTAAAAACATATCTGGAGATTCAGTCTAATACACTCTGACAACAGAGTAAACGTTTTCAAGTATATATTGACCTTCAGGTCCATAATTTTAATTTAGGATAAATTTAGCAAAATGTATCCTTTCAGATACTTTTTCTGTGTATATTATTAAACTTATAAAAAAGGAATTAAATTTTTTGTTTTATTACAGCAAGTCATGATAAGTATTAACATGCTCTATCAAGTAAAGCAAAACCTCATTCTAATCTTTCAGTAACATTTACACCAGTTTAAGTTTTACTACTAAAAATTAAAATTAGTTTTTTCTGTTTTAACTAGCCAGTGTCCAAAAATCATGTATCATAATTTGTATGAATGATGAATGTGAAATAATTCTCTACATGAATTAAAACTTTTATAATATTTTAAACTTTGACATAATTTCTTTATAGGTAATTTGTTAATATCGGGATATTGTTTTAAGAACTGCTTCCACAGAGTTAAGTCTGGATACAAATTTGAAAAGTATTTCATATGGCCAAAGTTATTTCAGCCTTTCCTTCCAAATTCCACTTTATCCAACTTATAAGAAATAATACAAATCTTTCTGCCTGTTTATGATCTGGGGGATAGAAAAGCAACAGATACAGGAGTAAAATTGAAAGATAACACTGATTCTATCAGTCACTACTCACAGATGCCAAATCTGATGTATTATGGGTTACTGTTTGTTTCCTCATAATAAATCATTAGTTTCATCACCTTTTACCAATCCAGTCATTTCAATGACCCAAAAGGAACTATTAAAGAATACAACATTCATATTTAATCTAATTCCAACTTGTAACTTCTCTTTTGAAGCATACAATATGTAATACAAAATAAAAATTTATTATCAAAGTGAACTTTAGTGAAATTTTCATATTTTCTGCATCTTTTGTCAAGGTAATTACAAAAAATAAATAAAAAGTAGAAGGTAAAATACAAATGTTAGTGTCAGAATCATTACTGAACTGAAAGGCTAAATTGATTTGCTTCAAAATTTTTATACTAAATTGAAGAAAAGTAAAAGTTGTTTGGTGCTGTTTCTTAGGATTCTTTGAAAATGAATACTAATTAGATTATATAATATATTGCAAAAACAGCGATGTCTCCATTAAACTCTTAGCTCCTGTTTAAGAAAACCAAATTCAGAATTAGTGAATAAATTATTACTTTTAACCCATATGTTCTGGCTTTTGATTTGACATCTTAATAATAATTTGATGTGGGTATCTGTTACCCACCTTTTTTAGCAGGTTGCCATGGCAACTCCTGAGGTAAAGTACCAGTTGACTGGAGCTTCAGGCTTTGTCCATGCTAAATACAGAAGCTGCATTTGATTTCAGCTTGGCAGTTTCTATGGGGAGCAATGTACCATAGTTCTTTCCACTTCCCAGGCTGACTTTTTCATTACCATGGAGACCAGATCAGCCCACACAACTAAGATCTGAAATCATTCCTAGTATGGCTAAAACTAAGGCCTTGGGAACCAAGGCTTTCTATAATTAAAGTATATTGTTTTGTTAAAGAAGAGTTCCTGCTTCTGCTTTTGAAGTATTTATTGATTTTCCACAAAGAAAAAACAGGTTTCCTAGCACTTTGCTGAAAATTTACAATAAGAAGAAAGAAAATGTCATCATGACATTTTCCTTGGTCAGATTCTGGTTTTGTATATAATTATGGTATGTACTCTTCATAGTCAATCACTTAATAATAATGTTTCATTTCAAATTATCTGAGAGTATTCCTGTATAATAGTAAACACTTATAATATACACTTGATGATCTTAAAAGGTTACTTTTAATTTTAGTTTGAGATTTTCTAAATTTGTTCCTAAATCCAATATTGGTGTTTTTTAGATTAGTTCTACACTTAAAATAAAATCAGTATAAAAAATTTATTCTAGAACATTGATCATAAGTATACATGGACTTAACAAAGACGTATTGATATGATATTTCACTATAAATTCAGTCTACACAGATCTATAAAGATCTGATAAACTGTAGAAGATCACAATAGACCAGGATAATATTTTCTTGAATTATTTATATATATATATATATATATATATATATATATATATAAACTCTGTGAAATTTGGCCCTATTTGTGATATAGGCATGTATTAATATCATTCACACACTAGCATATATGTATCCACATACACACAAACACACATTAGCATCACAAATATGGCCAAATTTCGAGATTTCTTTGATGATCACTAATTACTTTACAGCTGATATCATATATTTTGTTGCCTCCCTGCTCCCCCACAAACACACAGGTACACACAAATGGCTGTAGTCAAAGGAGATGGTAAGGAAATTTTAAGTGGAATTCTGTAATCCCACATTCATCCGTTCATTTGCATATCTCTACAAAGTGATTTAAGATAGCATCTCTACTTTGATAGTATTTTTTTTACCATAGAGAAAGCAACATGGTCCTTTCTTAAAAAATACTAAATAGGAATTTTAAATCCTGATTTTAATAAAATATGGAGTTTTTATTTCTGAAAATATATTATGAATAAACTAGTACCATAAAGCTGCTACAAATTAATTTATTTACAGATGGAAATCAATTCATTCATATAATAGGATTTTTTGTTTGCTATCAGGAAATTAGCAATTCATTGTCATATTTGAATGCAAATTACGTTGTGTGATGCAGAGAACCTTCTGACATTTCAAACAGTTGAATTTTCCAAAAGGAACTCTCACCCTAATGAAGTTCCTGTATAATTCTAGTTTTCTGTAATTACACTGGTGAGTGTGAAATTCAACATTTGATGCTAAATGTTAAAACACAGATATAGCTGGAAACATTTTTACAGTAGCTATAAAGTCATTTGTATTTTTCCCTAAGAATATTGAGAGTCAGCATCTAACTCTTTAGTAAAACTTACATTCTTTAAAAGGGCAGTACTGTAAAGTGTTCTCAGGAAGGAAAAATGAAACATATAGGGAATTTCTTAAAGTATATTCCTCATATGTTCTTAGGTCCATCCCATACTTAATAACTACTAATTTCTAGGACAGCTAAGATTATAAATACTCACTACCCTAAGCTTTTAATTAAGGTGGACATTTGTGCTGATTTGTTTCCATCTACACTATATTTCTTAAAAACATGATTTCATAATGATTTCTACTCAAATTTTTCTTCTGGTCATGTACACAATATGTATTGGAATATGCAGATGATTCAAACAATGGAAATTTATAAGTCTATGATGGAATTATTATAGATTAGAAAATTAAAAATTATGTAAAAATGTCATTAAGGTGAAAGATTAGATTTATAACACTTTGATGAAAAATATAAATGACTATCAAGAAATAATTTTAGATTCTCAGCACATATTTCTTGAAATTTTTTCCTATCATTCTTGGCATTTGATTTTCTGGAGAAGATATTTTTGGTTGTCCTTAAATTCAGTTGGCAATACCCCCAAAGCAGCTTTTCCTTGCCAGGGTTGCTAATGAGCAAAAAATCCCAAATGTCAGGCTGGTATGCCAAGGAGGTTATTAATAAGGCATTAACATTTAGAAGTTATTGAAGGAGGAAAATCAATATCACAACTTTTTGTAATATTACAAGCTCAGAAGGAGTAAGTAGATGTCCATTTCAGGCTTCTACAATCAAAAAATGTTACAGCATAAGGGGAAATAATACCTTTAAATTTTTATCTAGGACACTACTTTTCCTACTTTACTCTGATCTCCCAGTCCCCACCCCGCACACACACACACAGAACCACCTGTTATATTCTTGTTGAAAAGAATTTAGTATTCCACTCACTTTTGTAGATTAATACCTCCTTTCCCATCATTTAGTATTGTAGGATGACATGATACTGGAACTGGTATTAAATGAAAATTCTCTTTGTCAAGTAATCTTACCAGAACAAAATGGCATTATTTGGAGGATAGTGTACAAATTTAGTATAAGAATAAGATTAGAGTGAATGAGGGCTAGGAGTGTAGTTCAGTGGTAGAGTACATGTTTAGCATGCATGAGGCCCTGGGTTCAATCCTCAGCAACACACACACACACACACACACACACACACACACACACACACCTATATATATATAGAATAAAAGTTTGCAAAGATCTATGTTACTATTAATTTGAAAAATATGTCTGCATTTATTTTTGGATTAAGTTTTCAAGAATTATGAAGTTGTGCCACTGATTGCTTCCTAAAGAAGCTGGACAGAAGCAGAATAAGCAAAATTCACTGATGATAGATAAATTAACTGATCAACAACTTGGCAAGGGTGAAGTCCTTTGTTTACTTCCCATGGGTTCTGATGGAGTGAACATACTAGATACATCTTCACAACCTCAGTTCCCCCATACACATACCCTCCCTTTTTTTCTACCAGAGTGTCCAATTTGGAGAATTCAAGTCAAGTGTGTTGGAGAAATTAAGTAGTTTGGGTCTTGGAGGTATAATCAGTGTTTTGAAGATATCTTTACCACCAAATTGCATATATGGATCAAAGTTCAGATCAGGTTTCAACTTCTTTTCAAAGTACTTGTGAAGTAGGAAAAAGAATGTCCTAGTAGGATTGGAAAGAACAATGGGGAACCTGTTGGAAGAAATAGGAAAGAAAATAATATAAACATTGTTGATCCCAATTTACCTTTTCATTTTGGCAAAGCCACACATTTCACAGATGAAATGTTGTGTGACTCACTTGTTCACCAGATGGGCAGTCCTCATCACACTGATTATCTTCCAGACTGAATATGATCTATTTAATTATATTCTTTTGATATAAATATGTGAAATGGTGATAGAGTTTATAAAATTTCATAAGTTAAAAATCTGCATTGTTTATCTCTAAATATTTTGGGTTTTTAAAAAAGGATACTGTTTCCTATAGTGGGTTCACATCTCAGACTTGAGCTATGTTACCTCTATGATTATTTCACTTGCAACTGAGAGCTTTAAAGGTATTGTTTTAAGATAAGTAATAGTTAATCATAAAATATCAGTAGACTCCCATCTATCCACACTGCTGAAAGAAAACATTACCAGGAATCATTATGCTTATTAAAGTTATCTCATTTGAGTTTAACATGAATTTTTATTAATAATATCAAAATAATGTTATCTACTAAGTTATTTTAAAATATGGATTATTTAGAATGGAGGGGTCAAATATTAAGTCAAATATATTAAGTCAAATAATTAAAAATTACAAAATTTTAAGACAAATTCGAAGGAGTTGTACAGCTATATCAAGAACTCTTTAAGGTCAGGCTATCTTTGTATATTTATCCCTAATAATTGGTATTATTCAAACACATACACATTAAATCCTTACTGAAAAGTATGTGTCTATAAAAATTATTTCCTCCCATTTTCCATTTTAAATTCTGAATGATGACATTTACAATGACCATATATTGCAACAAAATTACTAGGATGTTTTTCTGAAAAATCAATTTACCACCAGATTATTTTCAATGAAGTAATATTAAATACATCTATTATACTTAAAAGATTTTTCAGTTGTTGCCAAAATGTTATGTCTGATTACAATGCACTGATAAAAATATGAAAAAATAACAAAAGAAACAATTGTTGCTAATACATAGCTCCATTTAAAGAGTACTTTAGGGCCTGGGGTTGTAGCTCAGTGGAAGAGTGTTTGCCTTACATGTGTAAGGCACTGGGTTTGATCCTCAGCACCACATAAAAATAAGTATTGTGTCCATCTACAACTAAAAATATTTTTTAAAGAGTACTTTAGACTAGGAGTGTTACTCAGTGATAAAGCCAATGCTTAGCATGCACCAAGGCCCTGGGTTCAATCCCCAGCACAAAATAAATACATAAGTAAACTAAAAGACTTTATGTTGGGCTGGGGATGTGGCTCAAGCGGTAGTGTGCTCACCCGGCATGCGTGCGGCCTGGGTTCGATCCTCAGCACCACATACAAAAAAACAAAGATGTGTCCACTGAAAACTAAAAAAAATAAATATTAAAAATTCTCTCTCTCTCTCT